GGGGCTGCTCGGGCTGGGGGCTTCGCACTGGGGGGCTCTCCTCGTACTGAGGAGATTTCCTCGCACTGAGGGGGGTCCTGTGGGAAGGGACGCCCCTCGCACCGGGGGTCCCTCCGGGCCAGGAGCAGGCACGGTGCCCCCGGGCCTGCTGGCGGGTAACCAGCTGCAGAGTGCGGGATGTGTCTGTGTCAGAGGGATTAATCCGGTTTGTTTACAATATTTCACACCAGCTGTGTGCTTCTGGCTGAGGGGGGATCGTAGAGAAACCAACAGCGTTCTCCTCCCTCGTAGAAATTGCTGCATCGTGGAAGTGAACGAGTAGGCAAAGTGGAAGGGGAGTAAGTCTTTTTGAGTTCTTGTTTTGCAGATGAAAGACATCGTAGCAGAAACGCTGAAATACCTCTCAGTTTGCCTTTCTGCTATAAGATTAGATCATCAGTGCGTTAAAAAGGCTGAGCTGCCTGAGTGGCCGTGTCACCCGGGTGATGGACTCTGCATATGCTCCCAGGACTGTGCTGTGCGATGGGGAAGTGCACATCCCCGGCAGGACAAATTGTTTATTCTTTGTTTATATCAGCAGAAAAAATTGACATCTTTTTCAGGTTGGGGCTGGTGTCTTGATATTTAAGGTGCTCTATAAAAGAATTGTTAAAGCTAATGAGTATGAAAGATTTTACCCATGAGTGTATCATTCTCACTGGAAGGTAACGTTTGTGCCAGACTTGATATTTGGAGGTCTTTTAGAAGAGAGGGGTTAGTAAGTATCCTAAAAATAGGTTGATTTTTGCAGAGGCTGCTAATGTCTTTCTGATGTTAAAATAGATACTTTTTAAAGAAGTCAGTGATGGAGTAGTTGTACAACTGTTTGTTTGAAGAATTTAGTTAACGCTCCAAACAAGATGTGCCCAGCGCAGGGCATGTGTCACATTACAGAGATATTCCAGGGCCATTTCCTCCCAGGACACTGTCAGATGTGAGCCCGTTTGTTGTCTGTCTTCGTTGCACGAGCAGGTCCAGGTCCAGGTCTCGCCTGCTTCCCTCTCACAGCCAGGTCCGTGTGCCAGTTCCCGAGGCACCGTGGGCAGGACAGCAGCACCGGGCTGAAAGCTGGGTGTGTTGCTGCAAAGACTCCGCTCAGGCTGTGGCCATAATTGGTCATGCTTGTTCTACGCTGACATTGGACTGCGAGTGCAACTTAATCGCTCTTGCAGAATCAGAAATAAATTGCGTGTTGTTAACACCACAGGTCAGAGTCCCTCTGTTTCCCTCGTTTTGGCGCCCAGGCTGGCTGTCCAGATGTACCTCGCTGCCGCTCAGGAGCGGGCTGGCAGATTGAAGACACAAGTGTTGCCCTGGTGCATGAGGGCTCTCACATGCTGAACAAATTACATCAGAGTCCAATTTGAAGTGGAGGGATCATCTGGCAAATGAGAGGGAGGAGCTTCTCTGTGGTTGCTTTTAGAGGTCCATCCCTGTGCCGGGGCTAACTTTAGAAAGGAGCCAACACATGAGAACCACACTTGCATTCCTCAGAACCTCAGACTTCTGTGCTAATGCCTTTTACATGTCCTGCCCCAGGAAAATAGATGCTTCCCAGAACTTCTCAATATCCATTTTGACATTGTCCCTTTTAGAAAGTGATATCGACTAGCAGTCAGCTGGGAGTTGGGTTTTCCTTCTAGGCTGGAATGATAAATACTTGCTTGGTTTTGCTCATGGGAGAAAAGAAGTACAATCAGAAATGTTCCCTTGTGCCAAATATTATTTTGTAGTGTTAATTAAATGTGAGTGTAATTAATTGGACAGTGGATAATGATTGAAGAGCAGACAAGTGCTGCTTAATAAAGGGACACCAAAGAATCAGATGTAGGAATGTGGGTGGTCAAGGTTGCACATATCCTGGAAAAAAGTAGCTTTTGTGGAGATCTTTTCAGCAATGGAAGCTGCAGCACAGGCGCAACAGCTGTGATTGTTTTGTACCCAAGTGGTAAAATCCCTTGCACGCCATTGACAGCATTGCGTCCATCACCAGCAGCGCCTTGGTGTAGCGAGATGTTTGGTATCTTTAGAACAGAAGAAACTCACAAAACTTTGAGAGGGCGCTGAGCAAGGTGGGTGTGTGGGTGACACAGCTGCTTGCATTAGCAAAGGCTCCCAGGAGCAGAAGGATGTGAGCAAACTCTGGCTGGGCTGAACAACTGCAATCTAAATGCAGCCTGGGGAACTTGTAAGGTATAGTTTGCCTGGAGTCATTACTTTATTTCTCATTTTTTAGCTTGGTAGCTTGATCCTGTTCTCCATGGGTGGGATCACACCATCAGTGCCAAATAAGCCAGAAGGACCAGAGCCAGGTGCATTCTAGACCCTGGACTGGTTTCCTAGGCCTGGGAATTGAAAAAATACCCATGATTCTTTCTAGCACAGTCCTAATTTAGTCACTCAGATAAAATCCACAAGCTGGGTGCCAGTTTCAGAGTTCTAGATTACCCCATCCCTGTTACATATTTTAAGGAGAGGAGAGAACATACGTTTCTCCTTTTCACTGATTCCTTAGCTAAAGCCTTTTCACCAGCTACCTCCACCTGAGTTTTCCACTTGTAAGACAGTAATAATTCACTGTACCCTATTTTTCAGGACAGTGTAAAGTGTTGCAGTGTTTGGATGTGTTTTCATACAAGCACTAATTGTCAAGTTTCATAGTCCAGAGTGATGTGAAGGAAATGCCTCTGTGTCTGTGTATCAGCCAACCCACTTTTGCTCTATGTTCTTCCAGGTTTATGGCCACCAACGACCTGATGATGGAACTGCAGAAAGACTCGATAAAGCTGGATGAAGACAGCGAGAAGAAAGTTGTGAAAATGCTTTTGAAGTTGCTGGAGGACAAGAACGGGGAAGTGCAGAACCTTGCTGTCAAGTGGTAAGAGCCTCAGCAGTAATTACTGCATTCCTTGGCAATAACAAAGCTGTCGCAGGCTGCAGAGTGCGCTGAGCACAGCCTGGCCCTGCAGCATCGGCTCCTAACTCAGAGCTCCCCTTGCAGGGGCTTTCCCTCTCGTGCTGTGGGGGTAGCAAGAGAAGCTTTTCTTTCTCTGTTGATATTCAGAAGGAGGAGCATACGGATACCTCTGTGGAAGCAGCAGGGGGTTTTGGAAGTAGCTCAGTGTTCACATTATTAATCTTGCTGTATTAAAACTAGCATGCCTGAGATTTGATTTCTTTAGAGAGAAGCGCAGGATAAAATTTTGGTCATCAAGTTCCTCTCCTTTCTCGGGCTTTGAAATCTTGTGCTGAATTTCCCGGTGCTCCTGTTTTTGATAGGGATGGTACTAAACGTGCAGAGCCCTTCAAAAATGGCATTTGAATTTCAGGACCAAATCCTACCCTTCAGGGGCATTTCAGTAAAGTTTGTATTGCACTGGGGTTTTTTCCCTGCTTTAACTCTTAAGCGTAGCCTGTGCTGTTGCTTTGCCTTTGACCATTTCAATATTTTTTGTAATCTGAACGAAAAGGGCAGAAGTTTCCTTTATTACTGAGTCATCTGATGAAGTGATCCTACTGCTGACGTGTTCTTTCCTGTCTCTCTCCCCCAGCATGGCTAAACGCGAGTGTTCATTCTAGAAATGAGATTGAGTGGGTCAGTTCACGCACAGGGCTCCAGAAAGGTGGGCCATTTAAAGACAACTTTGGGTTCCTGTATTTTTTCCTACTGTGGACCTTATTCATATTCCCTTCTTTTTAACCATATATTGCTCCTATCCCTATACTTTTCCTGGGACCTCTGGCCCTTTCTTTTTGATTCCCACTGTCCTGACTTCTGGCACTTGCCATGGTTCTGGTTCTGTGACATTTTTTTCAATGTAGATGAGTTCCTTAGCTTCTCTGTGCCTCAGTCTCCCTGCCTGTAAAGCAGTCATAACCATCGGTTCTCTTCTGCATGTCGACGTGTAAGATTGAACACTGCTTGGACTTGCACAATTATTATCTTATCATTTAGTATTTCTCTTCTAATTCTTGTATTTCATAGTAGCTACTGAGACTCTAAACAGCTATTACTGTCCCAACTGTTGAATTTAGGAATAGTCTTATACAGAACAGGCTGCATGTGAGTTTGCTTTGTGTATTCTGGGAAACACTGTGTGTACAGTGTTTGTTAAGCGTGCTGTCAGGGGTAATTGTGGTGTGAGCAGGGACACAGCTACCTGTGCATACGTGTTCCATAGAGTTTGCATTACGGGAGCTGTGCCAAAAGGAAGAGAGAAAAAGAAGACAGAGAACGCATTTTTGTACAAAGATTTTATGAACTGGGTCCAGCGATAAACACTGGAGAGTGCTGGCACCATCTCTTCTCATACAAGCTCTTAAGGAAATGTAAAGCATCAAGCCAATGTTTTGTCAGTCCTGTTCAGCACCCGCTCATGTCAGGGACTTTTACTACTGGTTGTCAGGAGCAGAACCTGTCCTGGGTGTAAGCTGCAGTGAAAGAAGGGCACGTTGAAAGCCTTGCGTGTGTGTCTGTCTCGTTTTGTACTCTACAGGCAACTGGTAGCCTTTCCTTTTGAGCAGCGTGGACGTGCAGCATTGATGGCACTCCCCAGGGGTCAGTGGTCGTGCAGCATACAAAGCCAAAACCTCTAGTCCCTCTTTTCTGTATGACTTGTAAAAAAAACCCCACAACTAAAACTGACTGTGGATTCCAAAGTCCAACTGTAGATTTTACCATTACTCTGTGTAACTTGGTTGCTTTGGTTCAAATCCATTGTGTCACAATTTCTGAGCTGTATTTTCCAGTGAGATCTTAACTGGCCTCATGTTTGCAGTAGTTGATGTGAAGCGTCCTCCTCTAATCTCAAATTCACTGAGGTCTGGTACAGAGTTAACTGAGGCAGCACTGCAGGGTGTGTAAACCTCGGGACACAACATGCTACGGGGTGTTGGTACTTGATGCTGATAATATTGATAATTGCTAATATTTGCACTTGGGGCTGAGCTGCCTTTGAGGAGGAGCGAGCCTGAGCATCCCTTTTGATGGTGGAAAGCATCCCTCTTCCTCTTCATCCTGACTGGCTTCTCCCACAGTCTGGGTCCACTGGTTGGCAAAGTGAAGGAGTACCAGGTGGAAACCATCGTGGATACGCTGTGCACGAACATGCTGTCAGACAAGGAGCAGCTGCGGGACATCTCCAGCATTGGACTGAAGACTGTCATCTCCGAGCTGCCACCAGCTTCTACAGGTAAAATGTCTGTCTCCGTTTGTCATACTGGGGCAATAGGGAGTCACAGCCTTGGGGAGAGAGAGGAAAGTGTGGACTTCAGGGCCTAAAAGCTACAGGTTCCGTATTCACCTGCTAGAGGACAAGTAATGAAATGAGAAGGAAAGAGAGCAGAAGCTGAGACACTGCTGAGACCAAAGAAGGGATGAGATGAGAACTTTCGCTGGTCACACTGAGGATGTTCAGTCTGAAACTGCATCTGAGTTCTTGGAGAGATCCCTTCTTGTTCATGGCAATCCTAAAGCATTTGGTGTGTGTCGGGATCCTGCTGGTCGGGCAGCCTGGCAGGGCCATTGGTGTCCACGTCAGCAGTGCCACCGCCCTGTGCGATCTCAGCAGTGCCAGCACCGCTCCACTGCCTGCCCGCAGCCTGGCTCTGTGGAGTCTTCCCACTGCCACAGCTGCTCTGGCTGCTGCTGTGTTCAGAAATACCTATCTCAAAAATGCAGCAGCTCTTCAGGGAATACCCAAGGCTCTGGAGATTTGAGTTTCCTCTGCAGCCATCTCATGTACCTTGTGTTCCTTCATGGCGGGTGGCCATGGCAGTGCTGCCAGGCTGCTGGATTTTAGGGTGGGAGGAGAACTAGAATTGGTATGTAAAGACCACAGTTTCTGCAAAATTAAGCTCTTGTGAGCCACCCTTTCAGAATTCTTTATTTAACAGATACTACACAAACTGAAGCTGTTTTAGGGTAGCAGTTTCTGTCAAGACTGTTCTTATTGAGAAAACCTTGATTTGTTGAAACTGAGCCTTTTCAAGTTAAAACAGGAGAAAACATGCCAGAAAGTTCCCACCCGGCTCTACTCCCTGGACTGCATGAGCCTGGTAGCTGCTTGTGAGACAGCCAGGGCATTTTAGGGTAAAAGATGGTCTCTGAGAAGAGAAGCTTCTTCCAAATAGTTGATGCATCATACTGCGGTGGGGATCCCTCACTGTTTGCAGTGTGTCCACCATCTCAAACAAAAGCTCGTTGGCTGCTGTTCTGGTTAGGTCTCCCAGTGGTGGTATTTTTTTTAATGTGGGAGGTTCTTAGCAGTAAAAAGTAATCTTTTTAACTGACAGTGGGAAAAATCCTCTCTCTTGCAGGCTCCACCATGACAGCAAACGTGTGCAAAAAGATCACAGCCCAGCTAACAGGAGCCATTGGCAAGCAGGAGGATGTGTCTGTGCAGCTGGAGGCTCTGGACATCCTGTCAGACATGCTGAGCAGGTACAGAGGGTTTCCTTCTGGCAGCTGTGTGCGGCTGGGGGCTGCACGTGTGCGTTTGCTTTTGATTCCAGTATTTCCCTCATCCTACTATGAGGACTTAAAAATAAGGGGTTTGGGTTGTCTGAATAACCGAGCAGAGCAGATTCCCCAGCAGGGATGAGAGACAGCATGCTGAGCCCTTCTGTGTTTGGGAACAGCGGTGCAGTGGTGATGGATCCCACAACGGCTCAGTTCAAACAAGTGTAGGGAGGGAGAGGGCAAAGCAGAGAAGTTTATTTTAGCCCTGTGATCCGATTGCACAGTCATTTTTTTCCCTGGCTGCCTGTTTCTCATGTTACATTAGTCAGAGTTACAGTGTCATGTGTCAGCTGGGTGCAGGAAACCATTGGCAAACCCCCAGGTCACCCAGAAGGACACCGTCAAAATCAAAATCCTCCAGGATGGAGTCAAGTAACCTCTTCCTGTGTTGTACAGAACAAGTCAGTGTTCAGACCAAAATGCCAAACCCACCCTTTTCCTCTCCCAACATGCATGAAGTCTTCACAGCTGAAGGATTTTTACGTTTTTTGCTGGCAAGAGGGCTTTTTCTCTGAGGCTTTGACTTTTGACTTGTGTCTTGTGCTGTTGGTTGCAGACTGGGGGGAACACTCTACTCCTTCCATTCCTCCATCCTGAGCTGCCTCCTTCCCCAGCTGACAAGCCCCAGGCTGGCAGTACGTAAAAGGGCCATCATTGCCCTGGGTCATCTTGTCCTGACCTGCAGCGGAAGCATCTTCTCAGAACTCACAGAGCATCTGCTTGCTGAGCTGAAGAGGAATGAGTCTACTTCCACTACCAGGACGTACATTCAGTGTGTCGCTGGCATCAGTAGGCAGGCTGGACACCGCATAGGTGGGTCGAGTAGCATGAGATGACACTAGGAAATGTGTGTGCATTTCAGAGCAGCTCCTTCTAGTGTAAAATAAGCGTGCTCGCTCTGTTCCTAACGTCTCTGATCTCCACTTGGAAGGGTCTCTCATCCCAGCTTGCTCCGTGACTGAAATTTCAGCAAGGGCTGAAGCCAAGGAGCAAGAGTCATCTGCTGAAAACCCCTGCGAGGCTAGGCCGTATGGCCCAGGGCAGGAAGGCCCTGCTGGGCACCCCAGGGCAGTGGCAGGGGGCTGAGCTGTTAGCTGCTCACATGAGGGAAGGCTGGAATGACTTTTCACTGCTGCTTGCTTTGTCTTTGCCAGGAGAACATCTGGAGAGGATAATTCCTCTGATCGTTCAGTACTGTAACGTGGAAGATGATGAGCTGCGAGAGTACTGCTTCCAGGCCTTCGAGTCTTTCGTGAGAAGGTGCGTGCTTGAGGAACAGCCATGCACCCTGCCGTGCATCGGTGTCCTCCTGCTGTAAATATCTCCACATTCAGCATGCAGGGCTGAGCGCCTTCCCATATGCATTCCTGTTGGGAAAGACAGTTCACAAATGAAATCCCGCCTTTACATGCAGAGCTGGGCTGGAGTTAAGAGCTGTTTGACCTCAGCATGTGAGAGTGTGTTTCTGTACTGGTCTTGCAGGAGTGGGAGTTTTCCTGGGAGGATTCCTCAGTGAGAGGGCACGTGGAGGGGGCAGGAAGGGGCTCAGGCTGCTGAGCTGCTAAGCTGCGGTTCTGTCATTTGGCCAAATGTTTGCTGCTTATCTTGGAAAAGGAGCCCTGCAGAGCTGCTGAGGTTTTCTCCCATGGAGGGAGGATTCAGCCGGGTGGTGAAGGGAATTTAATTATTTTTTTTCCTTAGAAAAATGATTGCATCCTCCCCAGGAGAATGTGGTCTTGCTTCATGCATAGCAGGGAGGAGCAGCTCTGGTTTAACTCATGTTCACAAAATGTCCATATCATCTGTGAAGCATTTTGGGATCCTTTTGGGATGACTTATGTTATTTGGATACTTAAAATTGCTTAGTCTTTAATTTATTAACTCTGAGGATTTTTATTTGTTGTGACAGGTGCCCAAAGGAAATTGACCCTCACATCCCTAATGTGATGGGGTTGTGTTTGAAGTACATCACCTTTGACCCAAACTACAACTATGATAATGAGGAAGACGAAGAGATGATGGAAATGGAAAATGGGGAGGATGAAGAGCAAGGTGCCTGCTTGTGAGGATGACTGTGCTCAGCAGAACACCGGGTTAACATTTCTCCCCTTCCTGCTTTCTCACCCTCTGTGATGTTACTTTTCAGATCTGCTTCAAGACAGTTGGTTCTTTTAAAGATGTTGTTTTAATTTACCGATGGTAGCATAGCTGTATGTGCAAAGTCCCAGCAGTAATTCTGAGTTCATTGGTTTTACTTTTTTCTGACAAAGTCGTCAGGTCTGTGCCTGCCTTAGGCGACAAGGAAAACACTGACACTTGACCTCTGGACTAGCTCGGTGGAGTGCTGACGCAATGAGGTGCTGTTTCTCCCGTGCCTGCTGACTGCGGGGGTTTCTTAGCGCACATCCATCAAGCAGCTGGGCTTAGCACCTGGACATCCTGAGAAGCAGCCACTCTGCCGACCTGGCTGTTTGGAACTGCCTTGTGCTCCCAAAGGTGTCGGTGCTGTGCAGTGCCAGGCAGACCTCAGGGCCGTGCTCCCAGCAGCTGACCTGGTTGATCTGCATGGGCTGTGTGAACACTGCCAGCTCTCTGGCTTCTCCACACCTCAGGGGGTGACACCAAGTGTTTGAGGGCAGCTGTAACACCCATTCCTGTCTGTCCCATAGTTTAGCTCCAGTAGGCTTAGGATTATGTGAAAGAGGTGGCCCCTTATGGGGCCCTGACAAAATGTTTCTTGAAAAGAAGGGTGTTACAGACAGATCTAGAAACTGCCGTTAAAGACTTACTGCAGTGTTTCCTTTTTTAACCAGGCAGCTAGCCAGCATTTGTAGCTTACTCTGCTTAGAAAAGGAATCAGAAATCTTTGGTGTGGTCTTACATATTTACAAGACTGGACAAACTCCTGTTTTCCCTGGTCACAAGGGAGATCGTACTGGCTGACAGTGATGTCTGTGGGCACGAGCTGTTCTGATGTGTTCCCAGGTGTCTGTGAGCTACCGGTATCTGCTCAGCTGGAGAGGGCAGCTCTGAGGAGGCCGTGATCCTCCAGCTCTGTTTTCTCTTAACACTGTGCCTTGTTTTCCCTCGTGTTCTCTCCAGAAAGTGATGATGAATACAGCGATGATGATGACATCAGCTGGAAGGTCCGCAGGTCCGCAGCAAAGTGCCTGGAGGCCATTGTCAGCAGCCGGCACGATCTCCTTCAGGACTTCTACAAACCTCTTTCCCCGGTCTTGATAAGCAGATTCAAAGAGAGGGAGGAGAACGTCAAAGCTGACATCTTCAGCGCCTACATCTCCTTGCTGAAGCAAACGCTGCCCACCCAGAGCTGGCTGCATGCTTCAGATGCCTCTGGAAAAGACGACGTGCCCCTGACGATGCTTCGCAACCAGGTGTGCGAGGAGGAGGTGGGCTGGATTATATCCGAAAGTGCTGACAAGGGCTCTGCCTAACGCTGTGGTCCACACGTGCCATTTTAGAAGAAGACAAAAGAACACTGGAAATAGTGATGTTGTTGTTATAGAATAGCATAGCCACGAGAGCAGCTTTCTCTGGCCAATGCTAGTACTGACTGCTGGGTCCTTGGAGCAGGAGGGTTCAAATCCAAATTCTGCCAAAATGTAATTACATCACTGAATAATCATCCTACGTGTCTGAGCTATTTAGTTAACTAACTTGTACCTCAGCTCTGTGATTTGTTCTTTGATTTCACTGAAACACTGGCAGGGTGTCCAAGTTTAAATGTAGTGATGGGGCTAGATCCTGAGACAGCAGACAGGGAAGGAATCGTAAATCTCTTACCTCCTTTAGCAGTGTGTCCTGGTCTGATCGCTTTGATGTGTTTCTTTAAGCTTCATTAGGGGATAACACCAACTTCAGGAAGGGCTGGTCAGGAGTCCTTTTGTAGAATACGGAAAAGAGAAGAACGTCCCCACCATCTCTCTTCTTTTGGTGCACTGTTTTGTACCTATCCCTGGTGTACGGGTGCTGTTTCTTGCTGTACTGTCAGTGCCTCTGGCTCAACTGATGAAGCTGCTTTGGTAGCACAGCTCTGTGCCCTGGGATGATGCATGTCTTTCTTTCTGGTTTTCTTTTCTGAACTGCAGGTCCCAAACATCGTCAAGGCCTTGCACAAGCAGCTCAAAGAGAAGAGCATCAAATCACGACAGGGCTGTTTCAGCCTCCTGACAGAGCTGGCCACTGTTCTTCCTGGCTGCCTGGCAGATCACATCCCTGTGCTTGTCCCTGGTAAACTTGTCCATGATTTTGGGTGAAGGAGTGGGGTTGGCTCAGGCCATTCCTGACACGTGTGCTCCTTGCCTGCATGTTCCAGATATATTTCTGTCTCTTATCTTTGCTCAGCACCAGGGCATACACATCCAGTTGTGCTCTGGGTTGATGTGCTGAACAGCTCCCAGGACAGTCCTGGCTTCTGTCTGCCCCTGAAAGCCAGGAGAAGTACATTACACTCATTTTCAGTGTCTCCTGAAGAGATGCTCTCAGGAGGGCCTGTTGCAGCCTCCTTTGAAGCTCTCTGGAATTACGCTGTTAGCACGCTGAGACACGAGTGTCATTTTCTTTACAAAATGTAGCAGCATTTTAAAATTATTTGCATCGACTGATGATTTAATTTGCACCACCACATTTTTCTCTGCACTTTCCTGGCCATAGGTTCATGAAGCATCCCACACTGCTGAAAGGTTCCTCACACCAAGGTCCTGCCTGTGCTTTTGGTGTGGCTGTATAGTAAATATAAATGAGTCTCCTGTGATTGTCCTTGGGCCTGATCCATGCACCTCTCTCTTATGAATTGATAGATTGGCAAAACACATTCACACCAAGAGTCAAGCATAACTTCAGGGGTGTCAAGCAGTGTTGTAAATTTTCTCCTTCAGTCTTCTGGGACACATAAATATGTGCCACAGAAATGGGAACTGGAAGTACCTCCCTTCTGCAAAGGCCATCCATCTTTAATGGTCCACAGTTGTGTGCCAGACAATACCAACAGAAGTTGTAAAAGCAGGTAAACACAGAGTCCCTGCTCTGGGATTGCTTTCGGGCTTGGTTTTATTTCAAGACTTCCCACAGAAGAAGGAAAGAAGAACACCTGCAGTGCCTGTTGTTGATGCTAGGCTTTCCCAGTCTTGATTTCATACTGTTTTGTCATAGTTACTAACATTTGACTAATGATCCCTTCTCATCTCAGCCCAGGATGACGTTGTGAATTAACTTCTTAAACAGCTTTTGTAGCCAGGCATCCAGGACTGCTACAGTGAGCAGTTCTGTCTGAATCGCCACTTCCTGGACAGCAGAAAGACAGCAAGGAGAGTAGCTCTCTAATGGCATACACCTCTTGGGCAGAGAGAGGACAGAAAGGAAACAGATCCTGATTGTGTCCATGTTTTGAGGTGGGGAGTGGGTTTGATAAAAAACATTTGATGAAATAAGACAGCAGCCACTCTTGTCTCTTCTGCACAGGTCTGGTCTTCTCCTTGGCCGATAAGTCCAGCTCCTCCAACATGAGGATTGATGCGCTGTCATTCCTTCACATTCTTCTCTGCAACCACCAGCCGGAGGTATTTCATCCTCATATCAAAACCCTGCTGCCTCCTGTTGTGGCCTGCATTGGAGACCCCTTCTATAAGATCACTTCAGAAGCTCTGCTCGTTACTCAGCAGCTTGTGAAAGTTATCAGGCCCTTGGACAAGTCTTGCACTTTCAATGCCAAGCCCTACGTGAAGGACATTTTCCCTGGCACTCTGCAGCGGCTGAAGGCAGCCGACATCGACCAGGAGGTGAAGGAGCGTGCAATCTCCTGCATGGGACAGATCATTTACCACCTGGGAGACCATTTGAGCACTGATCTCCAGCCAACCTTGAAGATATTTCTGGAGAGGCTCAAAAACGAAATCACCAGATTGACAACAGTCAAAGCATTAACCTCAATTGCTAGTTCTCCACTCAAAATAGATTTGAGACCCATTCTAGGGGAAGGTTTCCCCATTCTAGCTTCCTTCTTGAGGAAGAATCAGCGTGCCTTGAAACTGAGCACCCTGACTGCTCTGGACATGCTGGTGAAGAACTACAGTGACAGCCTCCAGCCTGCCATGATAGAGTCCATCCTAGCGGAGCTCCCTGCCTTAATCACTGAGAATGACATGCACGTGTCCCAGGTGGCTGTCACGTTCCTCACCACCTTAGCCAAGGTTTATCCGTCCTGCATCTCCAAAATCAGCGGTTCGGTTCTTGCTGAGATCTTGCAGCTGGTCCACTCGCCCTTGCTCCAAGGAGGAGCACTGAGCGCCATCATTGACTTCTTCCAGGCTCTGGTCCTGACGAAGGCGGCCACCATGGGCTACTTGGAGCTGATGAAGCGGCTGACGGTGCCCGTTGACTCCTCGGGCTCAGCCGGGGCGTCGGTGGCGTTACACAGGCAGGCGTACTCCTCCATCGCAAAGTGCGTGGCGGCCCTTTCCTCAGCCTGCCCAAAGGAAGCTCCGGCCACAGTGAACCAGTTCATCCAGGATGCCAAAAACCCCAAGTCCAGCTCTGCTGTGAAAGTGCTGGCTTTCCTGTCCCTGGCAGAGATGGGGCGCACCATGAACCTCAGCGCTCAGAGAGAGCTCAAAACTGTCCTCCTGGAAGCGTTCACTTCCCCCAGTGAAGAGGTGAAATCTGCCGCTTCCTACGCACTGGGGAACATCAGCGCTGGGAACCTGAAGGAATATCTTCCCTTCATGCTGAAGGAGATCGGGAGCCAGCCTAAGAGACAGTACCTCCTGCTGCACTCTCTGAAGGAAGTCATCAGCTCCTCCCCGGCCGATGGCCTCAAACCTTATGTGGAGGATATTTGGACTCTCCTTTTTAAGCACTGCGAGTGTACGGAGGAAGGGACGCGCAATGTGGTGGCTGAATGCCTGGGGAAGCTGACTTTGGTGAATCCCTCCGAGCTGCTGCCCCGGCTGAAAAAACAGCTCTCGTCAGGTAATGGGAAGGGTAGTGGTGGGACTGGGGAGCACTGGGTTTTGCTGGGAAGTCCTCACCTGAGCTGCTGGTGGGTGCAACAGGGAGCAAAACTGGTCTGCAGAGGCAGGAAGGAAAAAAGGGATCTCTGCAAGGGGGATCAGAGGAGCAGAGGGTGTTGGAAACAAGAACTGCACGCGCGCTGCCTGTGCTGGGCAGCGTTTAAGCAGGAGATTGTAGACAGATCCTCTGTTCTTTGTCTCTTCAGCGCGTGTGCAGTGTGTCCCGGAGCAGGATGTGCACTTCAGGGCTACAGCAAGGAGTTTGTCCCTTGATCTCCCACTGTTTTCTTTTCCCTTCTTCATTGCAGGCTCTCCCCATGCCCGGAGCACGGTGGTGACTGCAGTCAAATTCACGATTACAGACCAGCCACAGCCGGTGGATGCTTTCCTGAAGGGCTGCATAGGTAGGGTGCTACAGATCGCAGTGAGCGTGGGATGTGCTGGGCACCATTGGCAGCCCAGGGATTTCTCACACCTACGTGAACCTCATCTCATCCAGTCAAATTTTATGTGTTTTCTGCTTTTGGGATAAAAGAGCAACACCGCCACGTGAGTCTGTTAAATGCTCTGACACCTTGCTCTTGGGTATGGTCCATTAGTGATGGAGTTTTTTTCGGGAGCGTAAGTTTCTTCTGCCTTTGAATTTAGGATTCAAGCATCTCATGACAAGGATCTTGTAAAACCTACATTAAAACGGTCTTATGGGTAGGAAGCCTTCATCTCAGATCTGCTGTATAAAACTAAGCCTTTGCTTCAGAGATCTGAGGAAGAAAAAAAACCCAAACTCCAAAAAACCAACTTCCCTGGATACCACAGGTTCTGATTTGTCTTTGGGATGAGGTACCTGGAATCGTGGTGGTTGGTTTTATGCCTAAATGCACAAAATCGTGTTTCTTCCACTTTCTGTATCCCAAATGAAGGGTGGGAAGGCATCTCTAATGGCTCTGAGGGTTCCTTCAAATCCACTGTGATCTGCTTTTACAGTACTGCCACAACACTGCAGCGGGACTGACCGACGTGTTCGTACCCTACAGGTGACTTCTTAAACACTCTTCAGGACCCAGACCTGAACGTTCGACGTGTGGCATTGGCCATGCTTAATTCTGCTGCTCACAACAAACCTTCCTTGATCCGAGATTTACTGAGTGCCGTCCTGCCCAGCCTGTACAACGAGACGAAGGTCAGGAGGGAGCTCATCCGGGAGGTAAGTCAAGTAATCTGTCTGGCGTGGGCGCAGGGACTCTGCAGGTAGCGGAGGTGAAGCTGTCGCTGTGTCTGCTGTTAGGTGACAGCCGTATTTTCTTCTTGTTTAAGGTAGAAATGGGGCCGTTCAAGCACACAGTGGATGACGGCCTTGACGTGAGGAAAGCTGCTTTTGAGTGCATGTATACGCTGCTGGAAAGCTGCCTCGACCGCCTGGATATCTATGAGTACCTGAACCACGTGGAGGATGGACTGAAGGATCACTACGACATTCGGGTGGGTACTGGCCTTGCCTGCGAGGTGGTGGTGTCACTGATCTTACGGTTCCCTGGGAGCATGGCCCTGACCTGAGCTTATGTGGCACCACCGGGTGCCCCGGCCGTGCTGTCTCTTGTTCCTTTCAGGGGAACAGCACACGGGGTGCAGCGGGGAGGGCCCGGGGGCCACAGGGGGCAGCGAGGCAGTGCCTGTGTCATTGTTGCTCCTCTGCAGATGCTGACGTTCATCGTGCTGGCCCGGCTGTCCACGCTGTGCCCCAGCGCCGTGCTGCAGCGGCTGGAGCGGCTGATCGAGCCCCTCCGGGCCACCTGCTCCACGAAGGTAAGAGCGGGCACAGCGTGGTGCAAGGGTGGGCTCTGCCCAAAGCCGCTTCTGCTGGGGCCACCTCTGTCACTGCTTCCGAGCAGCCCCCTCCCCACACTCCCCAGATAGAAAATCATCTGCTCATCTCCGTCCCTGCTGGCATCCGTCTGTTCTTTGTGCCTGCATGGCCGCCTCTAACGCCAACTAAAAAGGGTGCTTTGGGTGTGCAGGTGAAAGCTGGGTCTGTGAAACAGGAGTTTGAGAAGCAGGACGAGCTGAAGCGATCCGCCATGAGAGCAGTTGCTGCTCTCCTGACCATCCCTGAAGTGGAGAAGAGTCCAGAGATGGCCGAGTTCTTATCTCAGATCAGATCCAACCCTGAAATGGCCTCGCTCTTTGAGAGCATTCAGAAAGATTCCGCCTCCCTCCCCACCTCCGAGTTGATGGACATGAGCTGAGCTGCACACCGGCTCCACCACCTTCCTGCCCTCAACACCGTGACCGACAGCGACCAACGGGGACACCACAGAGGGCTGAGGCAGGAGGGCACCGAGCTGGTCACGGGCTGGTACCAGCCGTACTCGCTAAATCCTACTGGGATGTGTGAGAGGAGGGAAACGTGTCCTCTTGCAGAGCAGGGGCTCAAGGCCCTGTGTACTGATTTATTTAAGGGGTGTACAAAGCAATTGAAATTCAGGGTGGTTCCGTGAAAAATGGAAACTGCTTCCTTACTGCAGCACAAAGAAACATAGTTTTAAAGCATTTTTTTTAATCGCTGCACATGCACTTTCTACCCGAAATTGCCTGATGTATTTCTACTGTTTCACTAAATACCATGGCTAAAAACCAGAAGTCACATGTTCAATTAGTGATCAGCACTGTAATTGTGGAGGGAGTGTCAAAAAGGGAGCCTTGCACTACCTGAGCTGCAGGGGCTGCATTTGGCAGTGCCTCGCCCAGACCCTCGGGCTCCCACCTGGGTCCCGATCCCCACAACGGGCACCAATGGTTCAGGGCTCCTGCAGCGTTTGTGCCACACAAAGCCGTCCTGCTCCACTTCCATTTTTACAGCTTTGACTGCCAAATACCTCACCCAGCCACTTCCCAAAGAGCAGATTACTTGATTGCGTTACAGTAACAAACCTTACACCATGGGGTTCTGGCTTTTTGCATTTAATGCTGGTCTCACCCCTGCTCTGTGGAGTGCCCAGCCCCGAGGGCAGCAATAGCACCGAGCTCTGGTCACTCCAGAGCAGCAGCGATGCAGGAAAGCTGGCGCTCGCTGTTCCAGTGGCACAGAAGAGGTGGGAAAGCCAAGAGCACAGCACGAGCAACCAGCTCCCCTCAGCTCTTCTGCCACTTGCAAACTTACTCTGCAGTGGCTGTCGAGTTCAGATCCTGCTTTTGTAGGGGGGTAAAAAGACCCAGAGCAGCTGTAACAGCGAGTGAGAGAACAAGACCCTCATGCCTTTCTGGTAGCCATGGAGCTGTAACGAGCTTTCTTTTCTCCTTTTCCGACAGAGTGGTTGATGTGAAAAATATTTATAATGTGTGTGAAAGAGCATCCCGTTTGTGTGGTACAACAAATAAAGACCTACTTGTGAAGCAGCACGCGCTCCTGAATTCATGACAAGCGGCACTGCTGCAGGTCGCTGCCACCAGCGAGCGTATCGCTGCAAGTCCGCC